GTCTGGCTGGTCCAGCCCTTTAGCCTTGGAAATGTCCTTCATAGATTTGACCATATTTAGACCCTGAGCAGATTTTTGTTCCATGTCTGTCCACAGTTATTGCCGCACTGCCTTTACCAAATGACTTGTCTCCTCATCTGCTCTGAAATTTTTGCTTCTCCTTCACTGATCAAATGCTATTGACCATTAAATACCATTTTGGACTTTAGTTCTGTTTTATTTTTGTGAGGAAGTGCTGCAAAGTAATCAGTTTAAAATGCTACTTTATTACTTTAGTTTTGTATTTAACATAAGTACAGTCTTCTAAAATTACAGATTGCTTTCTTAATTCTAATGATAGACATCACAAAATTGCCCACCAAACTTATAGAAGGTGCTCTATTTCAAATTCAAAATTGCTGTTCAAATTATACTGAGCATGACGGAAATACTTACAGAACATTTTAATTACTCCTAGATGATAGAAAAATATTTTCTTAAAATACAACTTTAAAAATCTACAGAAATAGTTATGAACTCTGAATGCTTAATTATTCCTTCTATTCCTGGATTTTTGCAAAAGTATGAAAAAACCCCACTGACTTGTTCTACTTAAAACTGCTGATGTAACTCACATTAAACAGATTAAATACAAATTTGGTGAGATCGCATTTCAAACCATGTGATAAAACTAAAACGTGGATGAAGCAGATAACTTTTGAAGTGTAAAAGTTCAGAGAATTAAGTTTTGCAAAGAATGCTGGGGGCATGGGTTTGTCTCACGCGGGCTTCTTCAGCTCAGCTGATCACCGGCTGTAACGATGCTGAGCTGTTGCACCGGCTGTTGAGCTCTTCTTGCCCTGGGAGGGACTCGCTCCTGCTCAGCTGTGTCCTGCCCAGTCAGTTGTAGGGATCAGTAAAGCAGCAACGGAGAGAGAGGGAGCTTTGCTTTCCAGCCCCCAGCCAAAACATTGCTTGATCAAGTTTTTTAGCTTCTAAAAGGACTTAAGACCAAAATGTTGATTAAAGTGTGTTAATGGGGTGATGACACCAGTTTCAAATCTGTTTGGCGTACAACATGTACTTAATGGTTTCTTATGCTCATCTTGAATGAACAGTAACAATTGAATCCACCAGTATCAATAACTATTGTCCCACACCACTAAATACATGCCCCATTTTAGCTACATTCATCGTTCGGTTGAAGTCTAAAAGGACGGCAGACCTTACAAGCTGAAAGAATACAAACCATTTAAGAAATGACAGTTTATCTAAGCTCATCTAGTTACATATTTATTGGATCTTTCTTACAGGACAATTTCACAACAATAACAGAACATCACTCTCATCCAGGCCTCCTGAGAGTCTTTTTCCTTGCTCAGTTCTGTTTTAGACAACTCTCTTGATGTACTGATAGGGAACGCCTGTTGTTCCTCTGTCAGCATTGCCTCCAAACCATAAGCACAGGCATGTGTGTGCAATAGGAGAGGGATTTTGAAACAACTAAGCCAAGACAAGGGTAGTCACGGGAACGTTGTTCCGTTCAGAAGATTCTTAATCACTCTCTGATGACCACTGAAATGGATTCCTATTGCGCATATATGCCTCTGTAATCAGAATGAATAATAAAATAGACTGTACCTCAGTGGCAGTTTGAACAACTGGGTTTGCAGAAGCGCCCTCAATTATTTATTTTTTTTCTTGGAAACACTTTCCTCTTTGTCTGTCTCCATTAGATTCATGAGTTCATATACTGCAACACCGATTCCCTTTTTCCCCAAGAAGATTTTGAGCTACCAAGGTCCCCCTTGAAACTCGTTCTTTTAACGTAGACGCTTCTTGCTCAGTGCAAACCATTTGCTTACTCATCGTTGTTTCACCATCTTTCAAGGAAACCACCGCAGACTAAATGTGTAAGATACTCTTCCCAGGTTTTATTGCAGTTACTCAGTATGATGAAATCATAAACTATGTCACCTTCCCAGACTTCTTGCTCAAATCCCGGAGGTCTTTATCGTGAATTCTTCTGATCTTTTTAATCGTTGTTCCTGTAAACTATTCTATTATTTCGTTCACCTAGAATGCAATTCAGAGCCTTTCTCCACTAGACGCCAATTGACCCTGATAAATATTATCCTTTTGAAGCAGCACAGGCTAGCCAAAATAACCCATATGTCTTTCTAGTTAGGATAGGAAATTGTAAGGCAGTAAGAGTCTTTTGATGCAATTAAATCTGTTTTCAGGATCTGCAATTACAATTCCTGCTTTCTCAAGCATGGGAGAACTCAAAACACAAGAGTATCTTCCTGCTCCAGCGTCTTTTAGCCAGCACCCAGTACAAAGAACTCTGACTGACTTTCCTGGGCACACTTTAGAGCTGCTCTGGGCTTTGTTATTATGTTGTTCCTGAGCTCTGCCTTTGTTTTCTTTGAACAGTCTCCTACGTGCTGCCAGGCTCCCCAAGCAGCATGCAGGACGTTCTTTGTCACAGTGTTCAAACTGCTGAGCAACCCTGAATTTACCTTGGGTTTGTGAAAGAAACTTCCGCTTGGTATTCTCTTGCTGCCCTGTTAATTGAAAGATGGTGGTTAAGTCCTGCAATTTCAACCCAACCTACAAACAGTTATATGAAGGACTATCTCAGGAGGATGTGGGAGAAAGATCACCGCTACTTCTTCAAGAGAAGACCTACATATTCTCAAAACAAGAAACACTTGCCGCTCTTACAGTGAAACTATCTGTACTAAATTTTATTCAAAATGGTATTTCCAAGAGTACCTAAGACTGCTGGTGGCAGGCCTTGGCGAAGAGCCATTGCCCCTGCAATGTCTGAACACAGAAGAAAGTCTCAACAATTTTGTCCCTGCTGTGTATTACAAAAATGAAGCATTATAAACACGTATCAATGAGATTTTCTTTTTATTGCAAAATCATGATTAAGGCTGATTTGAAACTGTATCATAGATTTTGAATCAATGATCGGTGAAAGACTCCAGGCATTCTGATTCCCAGTTAAGCCAAAGTCAATTGGGATGTCTGGGGGAATGTATAATTTCAGCATTGATTTGAGTAACAAAACAGTGAAACAATTATTTTCAAAGAGTTAAGCATTTAGACTTCTAAATAACTTACACAATTTGGTAACAGTTACCCAAAAATTGGAAACTACCAGCGCTCTCGTAGGGATTTGGGGTGTTTTTTCTGTGTGCTCTGTGGAGGTAGCTACCCTAGGAACCGGACGGCCATCCAAATTCTGTCTTGAACCGGTCCGTAGGTTGGAGCCAGCGCTTTCATTTGGGCCGCCAAACGAGAGAACTGGGTACGCGCGATGCCGCTTGCAAAACCGCAGTTATTGCCGCCGCAGGCTACCGGTGACGGGCACCGCCTCCGCAAGTCTTGGGGAGCCGCAGCGACTTCCCGGCCGGGCAGCCGGCGAGGG